AGGAAAAGCATAGGTAAAACACCTAGGGGATTGCTTACAAAGATACCGCACCTGACAATTGGAAAAGAAAAGATAGTTGCGGGATGAATAATTAAAGATTACGAGGAAGAAGGTTTATTAATAACCATGGACAATAAGATAAATATTTTCGGAAACAACCATTGAACCGAAGGAATCAAAAGCCACAAGGTCAAATGCTGAAGAACTAGAAACTATCATTGACTTCCCAAATAGGAAGATTTACGTTGGTCGCGACTCGACACAGAATTTAAAGGTAAGTTGATTAAACGTTTACGTGCTAACGCAAATTACTTTGCTTGCCCCCATGCTAACATAACATGTATACCACCGGAGATAATGATTTATATGCTCAATATTGACCCCGCGGTATAATCCGGTCGAGCAAAAGAAGAAACTGGAGTCAAATAATAAAAGATAACGTTACAAAACTTTGAAAGGTTGGTTTAGTCCGAAGAGTCGAATCATTTGGACTCGCTAACTAACATCAACCCATCATTACTTTCAAAATTCCGAGGAGAAAAATGATTAATGGTATACCAAATTGTCTCGGATGTCTCGGTAAATGCAATATTAATTCAAGAAGATAAAGATACATATTCTCCTATCTAATATAAAATCCTCATACACACGGAAACTACACATCTACATTTTGAGAAGTTGGCATTAATTGCAGCTGCCCTAAATCTAAGGCCTTATTTTCAACGTCATTCAATTCCCGTAGTCACTATATTTTCATTACGCAATATTTTGCATAAACGTGAAATATCAGGAAGGCTAGCTAAACGAGTAGTCGAATTTAGGGAATATGATACTCCCTCCGCTCTAATTTATGTGAACCTGTTTGATTGGGCATGAAATTTAAGAAAAAATAAAGACTTTTAGAATTTGTGGTCCTAAACAATTCAAAAATGGGCCCAGAGTATTTGTGTGGTTATAAAAGCTTCTCATTAAGAGTAGAATTATAAGTTTAAGCAAAATTATTTCCAAATTTAGAAATGAGTCATTCTTTTTGGAACGGACCAAAAAGAAAATAGGTTCACATAAACTGGAACGGAGGTAGTATTATTTATCAGCCATGTACGACTATAAAATCACAAGTTTAGCATATTTCATGATTAATCTTAGCTTGAACATATTACCCGAAGCTGAAAAGAAAGTACATATTATTTTTAGGATAATTCTCGGGATCTGGACCTTCTACACAATTAGGTTCACAAGTATTAAAAGTCTCGGGTTAGAGACAATGCTTAATGCCTATCAGGGAAAGTAGTTAGATAATTTATAAAAGTTATTTTATTACTAACAACAAAGATGAGTATTAAGCACATGCTACAGGGCTTGAATTAGCTAGGCGACTCAGAGAAAAAATATTGGTTTAATGATTGATCAAATCCAAGAAAACTATGTAGCCCAAGAAAATCGAGTCGGATGTGCTAGTCACAGATCTACTGCTGATATCACCGACTCCAGAAGAAACTCCGGGCTCTTATTGAGAAATATCATTTCTGGATCAAACAGTCTCGGGATCGAGTCATCCCTTATTTGGGCGATCCCTGATCTATCATCAATTAGAATGAAAATGAGGCAAGCTCGACTAATTTAATTTTGGCATAATAAATTCATTGATTACTTGCAGAATGGAACTTTACCCACAGACAAGCACGCTCTCGACAACTCTGAGTGCGTCTCATCCCGTACTGCCTTGTTGAAGGAGAGTTATATTTGAGAATATTTAAGAGTCCCAAAACTAAAATGTCACATGGACCAGACAAACAAAATATATGATGCGAGAAATTTATAAAGAAAGCAGTAAAAATTACTCTGGTAATAAGGCTTTAAATCAAAAACTCATCAAAGCTTGTATGAATAGCTCAAATCAAGATATGGCATGATCCTCGATAATATTTTGGAACCTCCGTAGTTCCCGGCCAGAGTAAAAAATATTTGATAAAAAGAGCTCTGGTACCGTCCCTATGTTGGAACTGGATCATTTGAAAGTCCATCAACATCGAAACTAGCTTTCCTATCAGGTACTATTATAGTGGAGACTGTCCAATTATGATTTCAGTATTTGAGTTCTCATACTTCATAACTCGAACACTAGGGAGATTACTTATACATGAACATTAGTCAATTTGACCTAATATTATAAGAAGTGATACAAATAATCGGTTACCTTGGGAGATCGAATTCCTAAGAGTATTCCGACATTATTTACCACTATCTTAACTCAGGTTGTTGTCTTGCTCATATCAAGCATAAATACTTCAAACAGTGTTGTATGAGTTCTTCAAAAATACATATACTACACGTACACAAAAAGGATTGAGAACTCCATGTCAGAGTCAAGAATCCCACGATAAAAAATGAGAGTTTTATATCCAAGTCAAGATAAATGTATGAAAATATGCCACTAGAATAAATTTCACTTTGAACAAACACCTGACTTATAGTCGGTCCAACAATGACCATTCAAGTTAAATATATAAGCCTTTCTTAATGGCTAATTGTATTATTACTCGGATCAATTATCCTGTGTATATTAATGAAAATCTCAAATATTATTTCGGATATGTGTCCCTCTCTACTTGGAAGTATGTTCATATATTCCAATTTGGATCAAAATCCAATCAGATTAAATGTCTCTTCAGGACAAATCTACTAAGATATATATTTATTTGGGATCAATATTCCCTAAGACTCAATGTCTTGCCGGGATCAATACTCTCGTAAATCTTAATGGGGTCAATACTCCTGTAAATCCTACCGGAATTAATACTCCCTCAGATTAAAAGTCTACTCGGATCAATCGATCATATTTTACGCCTGAATGAAAAGGAGACGTCCTCTTCATAGCGTTTAAAATATATAAAAGGGCCCTCTTTTATTTAAAAGTTAGACGCCCAAAGGTACAACTTTAAGACATCGCACATGTAACGATGCATCCAAATATATATTTTAAGTCTACAAGACTAAATATGAGCACTCAAATAAATTTCTATAGTGCCAAGAAAAATTAGTACTCAGATAAATTCCCTAAAGTACTAAATGATGTCTATACAAACGTGATTACAGTACTTAAATTTGCAGTACTTATATCTTTCTCAAATCTGAGAACTCTCTCTATCATCCGTCATGATAATGAAAATAACATCTAGCTTGGAGACGAAACTGAGTAGGCTGAGGATTGGTTCGGGATTACTCTGACTATCCTCGAAAGCTCTTTCCTCCCCTTGTAAAATATTTTATTTGGAAGACGTGCAAGGACACTCTCCAGAATCAGTACCCATAGTACTCTTCTTCTAAAGTCAACCAATCAAATGGCTAACGACAAGATGTCCCGATCATAAAGTTAACCAGATGCATTAATTCCTAGACTTTATCCAAATTAGAAGTATAAATTTTCTGGTTATTAACATCCCTGGTCTCTAAGGTTGTGAGGTTATAAAAGTTTTGGGTAAAACTAAAAATTCAATAGTCAAAACTCAAAGATTAAAACTTCCGGATGAAAGTTAAAAAGTCCGAGATCAAACTTTCTATGGTAGTGATACTTTTTCAGCACCAACCGATCATTGACGAAAGGAAAATAAGTGACGGAGTTGTCATCTGAATTCCTAAGTTCTGCACTCTTTTTTTTTTTGCCCGGTTTTTGTCTCTATTGGGTTTTTCTGGCAAGACTTTTAATGAGGCAGCAGCAAGGGTGGAAAAGATGAAATATTCCACTTCCCGGTCACATCACATTGAGTAACCGAAAAGTGAGGGGACTATCTGTATTAGTGAAAAATAAACTCGCAACGTGCGTCTATTAAATGTCGACACATGTCAGCAAAGTTATGAGAAAAGTGAAGAATGACATGTAGAGATGATATGTGACACCCCCGGAACCGAGCATACTCGTACAGTGCCTGTTAGTCTCGGAACTGACCATCATAGAATAGCTCCGGATCAGTTACGGGAGAATAACTCATAATTATATATGAGGAAAGAATCAGTTAATCCCGGATTACATGGGATTTACCATCATTATGCCATCAGTTACAAATCAATTATGTAATGTACAATAAATGCAATAAATGGTTGTAACGGTCAGAATAGGGCAATCAATTACGAGATTGACTCAATAGGTACGGGATTGACTGAACAGGCACGAGATTGATTCAACAGGCACGGGATTGACTCAACAGGCACGGGATTGACTCATCAGTTACGGAATTCCAGCATTTACATAGTTGTTACAAATCTTCCAAAAGTAACAGATGGATTGAGTAAATGCTCATAATGGATCCATAATTCAAGGAGAATGGTTATTTAGATTTAGCTTTATAAATAGACACACTTTTATCACTACTAGAGAATCTAATTTTCTTATCTACAATTATATACATTGTAAATCATAGCATCTTGCTCCCAAGTTAGCCATAGTTCGGCCCTTCAAGCTATGTTCGGCTCAACATCCTATCAAGGATCATTCAATAAGAATTATTTTTCCTCTGCTTTACTTTTATTATATTATTTGTCATTGAATTTATTTTCCACTTCTCTATTACATTGTATTAACGAAAATTTATATCTTTCGGATTGAATCGGTTGCTTGTGGCCCGTCATATAAAATTATTGCTTTGACCTTGAAAACTATTTTTTGGGTTAAACAATTAGTTGTCCCACCCACCCATAGGGATAAAAAAAACACTACAATCCCGGGGATTAGTTATACCACAATTTTATCCCAGCCAAATATGAGATAAACTCATCTCAAATTTAATCTCGAAATTAATTATCCCTTATCCCTCGTACCAAATGAGCCCGAAAGGATCAACTAAGCTCTCCGACTTATCAGACAATGCGTGTTTGATAAATAAATGAACTCCCAACTCCTGATGCAAAATATGCTCTTTTATCCAAATATAAGGTTCTGAATAGCAAGTCTGTTCTAATCTTTAATTAGGAGATGAAAGAATAACAGAGCATTATATCAATTCTATAGGAGTTCAAGGTCAATTTGGATTTGGCAAAAAAGTTAACTCATCTGAAACATTGTTTATAAACATTATGCATTTACAGTACATCTGTTCTTTCTATAACTTAAGCTACATCTACCTTTTCTTCCTATAAGGAACTCAGGCTAGACTAGCCCAGGAAGCAAAAACAACAAAGCAGGCAGGCCAAGAAAGAGCCAACAGAAATCCCAGTGTGTTTGGCACAAAGGGAATGAATGTCGGGTAATCTTGACATAAACAAAACTAGGAGTGGTAAAGGTATTTCATCTTCATTCATCATCGTCAACAACAGCATTGTCTCCGCCTTCTCCATCACTTCCCTGCCTCCGCAATGGCTCATCCTCGTCTGATTCTGACAATGCCTGCCTTCGCCGACTTGCATTTGCTGATGGTGCAGCCTTCAGCAATCAGAAAGAGAATCAGTAATCAAAACATACTATGCAGGAGTTACATTATAGTCCAGCATATTAGACTTTTTTTTTTGGTCATAGCATATCAGACTAAGAGAAACTTGTCAAGTAGTTTTTATTTCATATACTCCCTCCGTCCCAATTAATGTGAAGTGTTTGACTGGAACGGAGTTTAAGAAATAAAGGAAGACTTTTGAAACTTGTGGTCTAAAATAAATAAAAGAAATTTGTGTAGCTAGAAATCATCACACTAAGAGTAAAAAAGGAAAATTTAAAGTTGAATTACTATAAATATAAAAAGGTGTCTTTCTTTTTGGGACAGACTAAAAAGGAAAGAGTATCACATAAATTGGGACAGAAGGAGTAGCATTCTACCAGATCTGGATGACAGTTTAAAGGTCTGCAGAAGGTCCGCCGAGAAATATTCTTAGATCTCCTAAAATATTGAACTTGGAGAGCTGAACGTGATATAAACAGAGGAGCATTGTTCATAAGGCAAGATGAAAAAAGGTTTTCTCATTTTGCTCCTTGAGAATTACTTTGGAGTCTAAAGTTATTCTTGAAACAGTATTCTAGTGTGACCCAAACATAATGTTGTTTGGCTGGTTGGAAAGAGGAGCAGTAGGGAAGTAAAAGAGGAATCATAAAGGTTAAGTTTCTTATTTTCTTGATAGATCAGAATTTCCAAGTACTCAAGTTTAGATAGGAAGGAGGACGTAAATGCCTTTTACATCCTCTCCATTTCTACCAAATCACCAAAAGGGAAAAGACATTTGCCCAATAAGTAGATCAATAAGTACACTCCAAATTTACCTCTCCATCCCTCGAACCAAATAGTGTAACAGTATAAGGAGAGTACATATATATATATAAATAGAGAGAGAGAGAGAGAGAGAGAGAGATTACAGTGTCATCCTCGGCATCCGAATCTTCAAGCCCCGCTGCTGCAAGTAGTTCCTGTGGATTATCCTCTGCTTGATCATCATGATCATTTGTTGGATAATAAGGTTCTTCATAATTTCTGTGAAGGTCACCATCATCCATTTCTTCCTGATCATCCATCTCCGCTTCTGCTTCCTCGGATTCGTAATGAGATTTCTTGTCCCTCTTTCTCCGCTTCCCACCTTTCTTCCTCCTCTTCTCACCATGCCCGCCCTCGTCATCCTCAGTCTGGGGCCTGTCCTTTCGCTTAGAGGCAGGAGTACTACTCTTCCATTGTTCCTAGCGACAAAATATGTAATTCTTAAACTTAGTGTAACCAAAATTTCTTCTCCTTGGAGGACAGAGAAGAAAGAGGAACAGCAATGTTATGTAAACCGAAGTACAAGTTCCACATTGCTGCTACGCCTCTATTTTAGTATGTTATCCTGGAAAGTGCTATAACTTCTATTTTAGTATTTCTATCATACTTAAGCCGTTACGCCATCAACTAAACAATAAAATAATCTGACAATCCTTAGTTAATCAAAAAATTGTAAATTCCATTTTTTAATTTTTTTTGTCTTAAACCCAGTCACTTTTTTTACTCAAAAGTCCGGGAACAGGCAAAGCCCGAAGGCTGTTCCAATCCCAGTTGGGGGAGATGCCAACACCATCTCTCTCCTTTCTACAAACACACTCCTTTTATCCAGAAGTGCTCAGATGAATATTTTCAGATTAAATAAATTCCATTTCCCAAATTGAGAAATTCGAGGACTAGAAATTGAAATGGTACACATTTGGAGAAAGTGCAAGACACTGCTTATGTGAAGATAGTCTAAATCTCATCCTTTGGTGCTCAGAAATCTACTAAAGTAATATCTCCGAGTATAAAGCTGATGTGCCCTCACCTAAGTTGCTCCGACATGGCAGTTTAGGTGCCGCACCCGTGTCGACACGACACTAGTATGGGTGTGGGTATGGGATCCGTACCGGATATGGTCAAACAATTTTGGGTACTTTGACCACGATGGACGAAAAAATTCGAGACGAGATACAATTTGATTCCCGAAATCATAACCAAAACTAGGGTAAATTTGAAGAAAATAGCATACCTTATCTAGGAAATTAATCTTTTATTTATCTACAACTTGAGAACAAAAAACAAATCCACATTTTACAAGCTATACGTAAGTATTCCACAAAATTTCTCATAATTTAGAGATATTTTTATACTTCTATTTTTTTGAATTATTTTTAGTCGGATCCCCGCACCCGTATCCGTACTAGGATCCGTATCCCCGAATCTTAGAATTTATATCTCTAAGGATCCGACCTCTAGATCCGCACCCGTGTCGGACACCCGCATCCGTGTCCAAGCAACTTAGGCCCTCACTACAATTGTGATGTATAGCAGTGACAAATGACAAAATATACCTTAATGCGCTCTAAATGCTGCTCTTGCTGCATCACTTGCTTGAGTTCATCCTCTTGTTTCCGTCTCTCTAGCTGTTTCCAGAGGCATGTGAGTAAAAGTAAGCAGCAAAAGCAATAACCAGAAGACGCAATGCCATAGTGAACTAACTTGATATTTTCTCTGCTCCTCAGCTTTTCTACGATTTTCTTCAGCCAATATGACCTGACGAGCAAGTTCCAGTCTCTGCTTATTCTGTTGATCTTCACGCTCAGCTGCCTCACAGTGAACTTTTGCAGCCTCAAGCAAATGCTTGCAATATCCAACATGAGTTTCAATTTTTTTCTCATCAAATCCATGAACATGAAGATTTGAAGCTGCAGACAATAGACTGAATAAGCGAACTGCATTCTTAAGCTCTGCAACCGTTGCCCTCACCTACGCCATCACAAAAATACAAACATAAGAACTAGAGATGCCACTTTTTCTTTCTCATGTATAATTCATGTTAAAATATAGCCCTCAAAATACCTGTAAATTGAGTAATCAATATAATAAATCTGAAGAAAATAGCGAATTCCCTTAAGGAAC